TTTTTTTCTTCTTATTTAAAGATTTTTCTCACAATTCAGACTTTTTTTTAAATCTCAGAATTACAAGTTTGTATGTATTTATATCAGAATTGCGAGGAAAAAAAGTCTGAATTGTGAGATTAATAAGTCACAATTACCTTTTTTTAAATTCAAAATTTAATTCAGAAACGGCTTCCATAGTAATGCCAAAGATCTCATTCTCATTGCTGTAATGTTTGGAGATAATGATATTTAAATTGTCAATTATTTATACGTCATGGAAGTATTTGTTGTGCTGCCTTTGAACTGACTGAAAAAACATTTTACTAAAGCATATTACTTCATTTGCTTTAGTCGCAACATTAATATTTCATTAGTATTTTGGGGTGAAATATGATCTGGAAGTGTTTCGTGAGATTGCCGCATGTGTGTAATCGGTGGTCATCGCTCACGGACGTGTCACGTGTGTTTTATAATCATTATTTCACTCGAGACAGCGGCTGATGATTTCAAAACTCTCAGAAAAGGAAGTGAAGATGAAAGTGGGATCTGAAACACACAGAATACCCATGATGCTCCAGCTCAGCGTTTGGGGAAGTGCAGTGCTACTGATAGTGAGAAACTAGTGTGTGTGTGTGTGTGTGTGTGTGTGTGTGTGTGTACTGGTTTATATATTCTGGTGGGGACTTAAACCTGACTACACACAGACTCATGGGGACTCGTGTCACGGTGGGGACCTAAATTGAGGTCCCCACGGGTACAAAAGCTTATAAATCATACAGAATTAAGTTTTTTGAAAATCTAAAAATGCAGAAAGTTTCCTGTGAGGGGTAGGTTTAGGGGTAGGGTTGGTGTAGGGCAATAGAATATACGGTCTGTACAGTAGAAAAACCATTACGCCTATGGAGAGTCCCCACAAGGATAGCTGACCAGACGTGTGTGTGTGTGTGTGTGTGAGTGAGTGAGTGTGTTTGTGTGTCTGTGTGTGTGTGTAAGTGAGTGTGTGTGTGAGAGTGTCTGTGAGTGTGTGTGTGTGTTTTAATCTGCTATGGAGGTTCAGGACTCTTGAAAAGTGTTTATTAACTTTTTTTTATTTCTCTCTGTAAGCTTTTGGATGCACTACATCTTTATTAGATCTCTCTGTTACTGTCAAACAATAACACATTTTGTTACTGAAATGAAGTGAGACTGATGTGAGTTGTTACTTTAGTTAAACGCCTGCGGTGAGATATGACGGTGTTGTTTTGTATTTAAGATTGTGTAATCAATATTTTTATCTGCCCTTACATATGCATTTGCTTGAGTATTAGAAATATGTTGTTTTATGTTGGTGTGTGTGTGTGTGTGTGTGTGTGTGAGATCTTCAACACTATGCAAATAACACATTAATTCTTTCTTTGCGACAACCTTATTGACTTATTTTGTTGCAAGAACAATATTATTTGTATTTAACAATGTTTTGTGAAATTAAAGGAAACACTTCAACTTTCTCTGGTTTTCTCATTAATGAGTGTTTATATTCAAGTCGTTACTAGATGCATCATAGTAGAGATGCCAACAAATGACCACCAATCTTCTTTTAATAGTATTTACTTAGATTAAACTAGAGCACAGTTGGAGAAAAGCATGTACAGTGTGGGACGCAGGGATGTGGTTTCTAGACAGCTGATGGATGCATATAATATAACAAATGTAACAAATGTAAATCTAGGACAAGTAGATGCAGTTAGTACTGCGCATGAGCACTAGAGGTCGCTGCCGCGTCGCTTACTCTCTCCACTGACAGTAAAGTTGAATTCTTGCAATCATGTTTTTAATCCAGTATATCATGCAACATGAAGCTCAAACTGAAGTCTTGCATGTTAGGGTTAGAGTTATTAAATAAAACGGTAAAATAATGAAATTAATATCTCATTTTTGACATACTTTACACAATAATCAAACTAAAAAAATTTAGTGAGCTGCCCACTTCAAAAGAAAAGGCTAGAAAAATGCTTTCTATTAGACAGCTTGATAGGTTTTTTATGTTTAAGACACAGCCATCATATACTGAAGCAATGAATAGAGAATGAAGTGTTTTAATAATGTTTGTTTGACACAAGAAATATAGTGACATTAGAACTGATCGGGTCATTTGATAAATATTCTTTAAAATTGTTTTCATCATTAGAATATTTATTTATTTATTTGACTACCAAACGTACTATAGGAGCATTTCAGCAGACTACTACTTCATGACTTATATTGACTTTAATATTAATATTAATTTTCTAAATATTCTTTAAATATTTTGTCATCATTGTATATTTTATGAATACCAAACATACTATAGGAACATTTCACTAGACTGCTTCATGACAGAAGAATTGTAATGACATTAGAATTGATCCGGTCATTCTATCCTTTTTCATTTGACTATTATTATTTTATTATTACTATTATTATTATTATTTTACTATTGAACATTTGTTAGAATGTTTATTTATTTTATTGCATCGCAGTAATTTAAAGTAATTTTGTGAATACCAAGCGTGCTGACAGAATTATTTTGACATTAGGTCATTTTCTAAATATTTCTTTAAATTTACCGTTTCTTTAAATGATTACTGTTGTCATCATTAGAATATTAATTAATTTATTTATTTATATTTTGTTTGAGTAATTTAATGTAATTTTCGGGATACCAAACGCACTGACAGAATTATATTGACATTAGATCTGGTCATTTTCTAACGATTTCTTTTCATTATTTTTGTCATCATTTTTATTATTATTATTATTTTAAATTATTGTTGTCATCATTAGAATATTCATTTTATTGTAGATATTTATTGTAATAAATTTTTTGTAATTAAAAACACATTGACAATTATTTTGACATTAGGCCGTTTTCTGAATATTTCTTTTAATTATTTTGTCTTCAGTAGAATATTTATTTATTTATTTATATCTTGCTACCAAATGCACTGATAGAATTATATTGACATTAGATCTGGTCATTTTCTAAATATTTATTTAAATTATTTTTGTCATTATTAATATTATTATTATTTTAAATTATTGTTGTCATCATTAGAATATATATATTTTTGTAGTAATTTAATGTAATTTTCTGTAGAAAAAAAAACATTGACAGAATTATTTTGACATTAGGCCATTTCTAAATATTTCTTTAAATTATTTTTGTCTTCATTAGAATATTTATTTTTTTATTTTTTTATTTATATCTTGATACCAAACGCACTGATAGAATTATATTGACATTAGATCTGGTCATTTTCTAAATATTTATTTTAATTATTTTTGTCATTATTAATATTATTATTATTTTAAATTATTGTTGTCTTTATTAGAATATTTATTTTATTGTAGTAATTTAATGTAATTTTCTGAAAACACACACACACACACACACACACACACACATGCATCAGAGTGTGTGATTGATTGGCACACGCGCTGTAAACGCATTCCGCGCGGGGTGGGGGTGCGCGTCGCGTCGCGTCGCGGGGAGGAGACGCCAGAGAGACGCGTCGCGTCGCGGGCGGAGCTGCAGGGAGTCGCGCTCTGAACGCCGGTGGTCGCGGTTCTGCTCGCCTGAAACGGAGCGCACCGGATCGAACGGAAAGCGCCGCCGGTTCACCGAGAGTTAGCGCGCAGGAAGAGACGAGCGGAGCGGAGGGATGGTGGATAACAGCGGCAGCGGCAAAACGCAGATGGTGAGTCGGTGTAACTTAGTTTAAATGTTCATAATGTTATTAATAATGTTGAAGTCTTGAGCTGTAAACATCCTCATATAGCTGTGACTGTAAATCAAACACCGCGCGACACACTGTATCATCAGTGCGAGTCTGTTTGTGTTTCTGCCACCGTGCTTCTTTACTACCTTGCAGAAGAACATTAGCAAAAAAACTATTTTCACTCAAAAACTGCTGGTAAATTTCACAAATGTGACCCTAAACCGCTAAACCAGTCATAATGGTATTTTTTTTTTCTGAAATTGAGATTTATACATCATCTGAAAGCTGAATAAATAATCTTTCCATTGATGTATGGTTTGTTAGGATAGGACAATATTTGGCTGAGATACAACTATTTGAAAATCTGGAATCTGAGGGAGCAAAAAAATCTAAATATTGAGAAAATCACCTTTAAAGTTGTCCAAATGAAGTTCTTAGCAATGCATATTACTAGTTTTGATATATTTACAGAAGGAAATACTTAATATCCTAATGATTTTTGGCATAAAAGAAAAATGGATAATTTTGACCCATACAATTGCTACAAATATACTTGTGCTATATGACTGGTTTTGTGCTCCAGGGTCACAAATAGTTACAAATAAACAACAAGTAACACACCGAATTAAATATGAAATAGAATTTTGAAGTAGAAAGACTGAAATTGTATATTCTTGTAAAACATTGTCCAGTAATCTTAATTTTATGTGCAACTTCGAGAAATCATGTTTACAGTGTATAAAAAAAATATTATTTGGCATATTTGTCTCGTTTTGCAATCAAATATATAAACATTCTTAGAACAACATATTTGCTTACCTGATAAAATTTCATTAAGTGAAAGGAAGATTTGTTTTCTAAATATAAGTGAATTTATTATTAAGTGAATGTTTTCATTGAATTCATACAGTAAATGCATATTTAAGTGAATTTCTTTCTTTCAGATATATGCATCTGTATCTGATGCACGCCTGCTTATCAGATACATGTATTTTAAGAATATTTCTATAATTTTCACTGGGGAAAAAGACAAATATACGCACTATAGTCAGTGTTCCCACCCTTTAAACCCACAGAAACCTTCTGTCATGTTAAGAGTTTCATTCTTTAGTCCCTTTATGAAGCTGTTTTTATCTTGGGAACCCACAATGGTGGTGATTTCAAGTTTTACTATCATCGTGTTGACGCACACACACACACACACTCACGCACACACACACACACACACACACACTCACGCACACACACACACACACACACACACACTCACGCACACACTCACTCACTCACTCACTCACTCACACACACACACACACACACTGCCAGATGCATCTGAATGCACAAACATGCTGCTTTCATTAGAGGCCTTAGCTTTGATCTGCCGTTCAACTGTGTTTACTCATGTTATATTCCCTTAAACCACATGATTCTCATGCAGTTTTACTCTAGTATGAAACTCATGGTTACACTTTATTTTAAGGTGTCCTTGTTACAGTGTGCTTATAACTTTAGGTACTGAGTAATATTAATTAACTACATGTACTTACTATATGCTTAGGTTTAGGATTAGGGTTTGATTTAGGGTTATTTGCATGCAATTATGCATAATTTATTGTTATTATAATAGTAAGTAAATGTAACATGTAACAAGGGCACCTTAAAATAAAGTGCTACCAAACTCATCAGTACATCTGAGTCACTGAATCAAGCTTGTTTTGGTTCAGAAATGCCACTATGTGTGTGGTTTTAAAGGGTTTTTTCTAGTATAACTCGTAAATGAGGATGGTGGTTTATTGCATGCAGGTTATTTAACCCGTCTGTCCTGCTAAACCTGCGTATTTAAAAACAAATCCAGAGCCGGTTTGCAGCTCAGTGTTTGATCGTCACATACTGCAGAAAACAAACAGTGTTTACTGTTCTGATGAATTTACAGGTTTTGACAGTTTCTCACTGGATTTGCTTTACATTCATGTGTTTTGCAAACCACTTTTGATCTGTGTTCAGTCCTGATGTTTAGTATGCATCTTTCTGAAAAAGAGAGCTGAGAAGGTTCACTTCTAAGCGTGTCTTATAGATTTCTGACATGATTTCGTGTATTTAATGTGCTGTATTGTATTGTTTGACTGACATATTTGCCAGGCCGATATTTTGAGATTGTCAATTGATTTTATGCTTTCAAATGTTGTATTTTGAGTAAATACTGTGTAAAATACAAATTAATTGAAATGCAGGCATCTTTTTTTTTTATTTGCTGTGACTAAATGAGCCATAAGCCACCTGTTCTCAGCCATTAAAAACCTATTTCAGTATTAATTACCATGACAATTAATGTGCTCAGCAACAAGGAAAATTTATTGGCCATGCATATGCATTTTTAGCAGTGCATCTGTAGCTATATGTGTAAGAATAGTATATTTATTGATGATTCGAAACAATTGTAAATGATACTGATTCTCACATTCTAATTGCTTGCAAAACCATCAGCCTTTCCTGCATTAATGTTGAGATGGTGACATCAGCAGAATTTGCAACAACAGCCAAATGTTTATGTTTGCCAAACAAAAATGCATGCACATGATCAATGAATGCTGGATGTAGTGACCGATGGGGCGTGTGACAGACATCTGCAAACATCCTTATCATGTTGCCAAAACATCTGAGATCGTGCTGGTTTAAGTGCTCTTAGGAAATTATATTACTCAGCAGACACTTTCGAAGAAATGTTTAATAGAGACAAACCTGAATGCACTTTAGAGTTTTTATCCAAAAAGAAAACGAATTTGAAATCGCTCTTTTATAGTACTTGTTACTTGCCTTGAAAATAGCCAAGCTGTCACTGGGTTAAAACACCAACCAACTAATTGATGCTTCCAAATCTGTCAGGCATTCTTGCATTAAAGGAATGGTTCACCAAAAAATTTAAATTAGCTGAAAATGTGCTCACCCTCAGGCCATCCAAGATGCAGATGAGTTTGTTTCTTCACAAATGTATTTTTGGCTGAACAATTCCTTTAATGTTATCTTCAGCAGCCATATATAGGCCTGTCGCAATAATCAATATATCGACGTATTGCACAATATATGCACACGACCTCAATCATTTTTGGTGATGCAATATATCGCCCATTATATTTACATAAAACTGAATGTCACCATGTTTTATGCATTCCACTTGCGTCTATGTCTTTTGCAGCTTCTCGTACATGACGTGGTGTAGTCATGAGGTGCTCGTTCACATTTAAAAAGTGCTTCTACAAACAAAGTTTCATCTGCAGATATGGTCTTGTTTAGAGATCTGTGCATTTGTGCGTACGGACATCTGACTGCTGAGTAGCTAGTGATTGTGTTTTTCAGCAATAGTGTGCACCCTTCATTTACAGAGAAAAGAAGGTCCGGGAAAAATCTGTAGATGCAAAAATCTCCATACAAGTTCTTTGTGCACTTTTCTTTTTTCTACTTTGCACTTTTTGTTAGAAAATGTTTATTTACTATTTATTCAAGTTTTTTAAGGTATCTAATATTTTGATACTTAATTTCCGTGATCTAAATATTCTTAAAAATGAAAAGTTTGTTATTAAGCATTATTATGCTGTTACATTATGATTATATATTCAATGGCATAAAATGGTCTTTAAAATGACAATAATATCACTTATCGCAATTATTTCTGGGGCAATATATCGCAAAACAAAAAGTTGTTATCGTGACAGGCCTACTAACTAAGCATTTGTCAGTACAACATACTATTCCTATTTCACTTTACTTAGTTTTTTCAAGGCAATCGGTTTGCATGCTT